GTTTGATTAATTGTAGTTGCTTTTTTACCTTTTACGGGCATATCAAGAATATTTTCAAAACCACTTAAAGTTCCAATATTTTATATGTAACCCTTCGCAAGCGTGATAATTCGAATAACACATGGCGGAAAAAAAATTTGGTTAGAACGACTGGGGTCGATATGGACATACAGCTAAATGTAGACATACTGTTTCGGGATATTGCTCTCTCTATTAATTTAGCATTAAATCTAATGTTCACACCTACCATCGGATTTCTGAAGCGAACTAAGCAATGTGGCTGACGGAGTGTTAACATTAGAACCACGCTATGTTTTGGTGGAAGCGACAAAAATCGTGCGTATGTCTAAACAGTTGCCTGCTTAATTCCGGCCGATTTATTTTATTCGTTACTCTTATCCTCAAGTGCGTACTTTTGCTGTATTCCAAATGTTGCATACGCTACTATGAGAGTTGCATTAGCATTTACATTGGATGTAAAGTGCGTCCTGCACGCCTTGTTGCGCGCATGTCTTCTTCATCTTAAATTATACGCTAACCCTTTCGTTGAGTTATGCTTTGCTGGCATCCATGACGACGTCGTCGTCTTTTCTTAAAGTTAAAGCTTTAGCCGAAAAGCGGCTGATTACACTAATGTCACTGCTTGTTCGATTGCATTAGAAATTCTTTGCAAAATAAAAATACGTTTTCAAGTTGTCCGTGCACTTAATCGTCGAAATATTTCAATGAAAAATTTCATACCGGGAAACTTAATAAACATTTCACTGCATTAGAGTGCAAAAGCAAAAATAATGCGATTTATATAAGGAATTTGTTTCAGTAATTAGGAAAAATTTAAGCGAAAATGTTATATGTCTTCTGATTATTTGAGTCGTCATTTTTCAGTCCGTATAGTGCTATTTAAGATGACGACGGACTGGACAACCAAGGTACAATGTATTTGGACTATTGCTAATGCTACTCTGGTAATGACTATAATTGGCAGTTAAGTATAATTGAACTGCAAATCTTGCGCCTCTTCATACGTGCTTCGACCGCGATCGGTTAGGAGCGACCAGGTGCTACAAGAAAATGATAAAAGCGTCTGTTTTTCCCTTTGACCGCTTGCAAACGCTTTGTAAGTGATATCTTGATCATGCAATAGCACATACTTCAAAACTATTGTGGTTAGTAGTTTTCATGTAGACCTTTTTGCAAATTTGTGTATTATATAAATGAAAGCTTTTAAGTGGACGAAAATATAAGAGTGCGATGGGAAGTATAATTTTTTTTGTTAAAAAAGCTTAAATATTTGTTTCAGCTAAAAATGTTCACACCTTGCTGTTTCTTAAGCGTCATTGATTTGGCAAGAGACTTAACCCTTAGCAGATGCAACTTTACAGTCTAACATAGTTTTGTTGATTAGTTTGTTTTATTCCTGCTCCTCTCCTCTTCAGGTCCTGTTAAGTTACCTTCCCTTAAAACTAAGTCAATTACGAGGACTGTGAGCAAAGTATCTGAAATTGATCATTTCACAGACGCTCACGAAAGATGTCACATATACTTTGCTTGTCGTAAGTTTGTAGCTCTGTATCTGTGCATTTACAACTCGGTGTATTTACAAGTCGCTGGCCTTGCGAACTGTGTTTTTGAGAGATTTAGATCCGATTTTCAGTAAAGCGTACTATTTGAGCGTTGCGTTCTAAGCAAAAATGTTCAAGAAGATCTAGGCTGGATTATCGAATGTTGAAAACATGCCGACGCCCAAGGGCTAGTAATTTATTTGCCTTTTTGTGGCTACGAATGATAAACTTGCTGACGTCAGTTGCTGAGTTCGGGATTTTGTTTCAACGGCGAACATAGTTTTTAGGTTTGTCGTTAAGGGTTTTTCGAACATGGGACCCCTCCCTGGACGGCTGATTCCGAAACAGTCCAATTTTGCCGCCGCAGCACTTTTTGGCCAAAAGCTTAACAGATTCGATTGTATAATGATTGTGTACATTTTCCATTGCCTAACATTTTCCTTTTTCCTACGCTAAAATGTAAAGCTAAAAGCTTGTGGAGGCACTTAGAGGCGATTCGCTCTCCAAGATTCTTACGATAATTCTTCCGTATAATCTTTTTTCTTAATATCGGTGTTTGTCGGTGTTAACATTGTTCGTAGACGTTAAAGACCGACCACGGCGAGGTACTATAATTTCTCGTGATTTTTTTGAAGACTTCATACCCGATAGGAGATAGATATGCCGCTGTTTGTCCGCTAGAACCCTCTCGAAGGCATTTGCAATTCGATTTTTGTCTACAAAAACCATTTTTCTCCGGAAAATTGTCAGTTTTGAATAAAGAGAAATACGCGTTTATTATCTGCAGGCCAAACGATCCATAAAAGAAAGTATTACGAGCCGGCACAGGTGGATTTATGCAAGTCATCATCTTTTGACACTTAAATCATCTGCTCATCTACGAAATTAAAATGTATTGAGGAGATTTCAGAATAAGATAAGATAGAGTAGCTTGCCATTCATTTCGCTACTGGACCGACTCCGAAAAAGCAGCTTTTGGGAGTAAAGGTTTGGAAATACATCTTAATAACATGCAATCTGCATCATCTCTAGAATGTTTGACTCGTAGTATTCTCAAACGGATCTACTGCTACCGCAACAAATGATAGGCTGCCTGCATAAACTTAACAATAAAAAGATATCCCAATGCACGTTTTCATGGTCGTCTCAAAGCGAAGCTCTGTCATGATGAGCATATTCAATCTCTCTCACCTACAGAGAAGTTCGTCCCTCAAGAAAATGCGCTCATTATTTGTCGGTAGAAATCTCTCTTGGGCTTTCCCGAGTGTGAAACATTAATTCGGTTCTTCAGCTAATTTGCGATTAACTTTGCCGTGCATCATTTGCATGCGTGCAATTATGTTTGGAAATAATGCAATCCGAGAACGTTACACAAAAACCCACATGATTAAAGGTTGCTCGACTTTTCAACGCATGGATTTGGCTTTCGCGTGAATTTATCCTTTTTTCTAGATTGGAAGACATTTGCCGGGCATTGTTGTTAAACTTCATGCCAATACCTTCGGCCTTTCATCTACAAGAGTAGATTTATCAGCACTATTTAATTTCTGCAATCAAGTGATGCCCCATTCCCCAGACGCTGTTTTTTGATTTCCAAGAATGGAGTTAAATGTTAAGCGGAACTAATTCCGGCGAAAAAGTTTGTTGCCGTGTTATGACACAAATATCAAGACACGTCTGTGTATAATTCTGACGAATAGCATAATACTTAAACGATATATCTGGTTAACCCTTTGATCCGCGGGACGAAATTCATAATGCGGTATCACATTATAAATCACAGAAGAAAACGTAATCTTACTGTCTTTTGATCGCAGTAACATATCCGCATTAATTTCCATTTTTCACATTCTTTGCATATTCGGGGGAGCATTCCCAGACGGCTGGCTTCTTGAAAAAGGAAAAGCAATTAAGAAACGATTGCTATCGCTTTTTTTCTCTATGTGTAAATTATAAAATAAAGTTGAAGTCGTTATGGCTCATGAAAGAAATCAGATTTGACAGCATCGTTTGCAGAACACTAGAGTAACATACATATCTGCATACGTACATAATATTTGTAAGTTGTTCGCCGTAATAGAGTTAAGAAAGGGTATGATGAGAACGATGGTTGGCATAAACGGTTTTAAAGCTGATTTCGCTTACTGACTAACAGACTCGTGCAGCTGATATATATATATATGATGTGCATGCATGCATACATGTATTATATATATATTTATATATATGAGTATATATACACCTGAAGTTATATTGAGTTTGATTTATGTAATTATGGTGGAATTAAGACAATTAACTGCCAAGTCGTGTCGTAGACAATTAAAGAATTTCGCGTGGGAAACACCTAATAATAGTAAAAAAAAAAAGAAACAAAAAAAAAAAAAAAGATACAGTCAATCAGATAACACTTATAACCAAATGCGTGTTTCGAATGTGTGCGTATCCGTCCATCCGTTACGTTAATCATATCTATCGGTTTAGGATGGTTTAAGAAAACAAAAAAAAATCCTATTGGTTGTGCAGCTTCTAATTATGTCACATCGGATCTTTGTACAGATAGGTACGTGTAAAGCAGAAACCAGAAATACATGAGCGCAAACACGTACACACACACACACACACACACACATACATACACATACACACGCACACAGAAAAATATATACATGCGAGCATACAAGTAAATGCTTTTCTGCAATAAGACAGGGACGGCAAGAGGTAGAAGAGTTGACAACTTAATGTAATTATCTCTTTAAATCTATTGATAGGTAGCGTTCGACTCAGCATGTTGTCGTGTGTCGTGATTTTCTGTAAGAAAGTCTATAAACATGTATGTGTAAATGTTTGTATGTAAATCTTACCGCTACAGCATACAAACACAATAACACACATATATAAATATATTTGCATTATACATATATATATACGTATATATATATATATATGTATCTATATGTTGATAGATGTTTGTAGTACCATACCAAGGTATTCAGTTATATAGCACCGAGCAGCAGAGTACTGTGCATTGGCAAATGCTTTTTTAAGCGAGAGGAGGTGTAAAAAAAACAATAACCATTTTGTTAATGTGAACTCATAACTGCCGCCAACCATATTCAATTCTCTATAGTTTACAATGTTTGATGGGCGGGTGTATTACTAGGTATGGGTATGGGTATGGGTGCTAGCGATACACAATAACGACGTGTGGCTCTTGTGTGTGGGCTCAATTGATTGAAAGAGTGTGTTTAATGCAATTAATCATTAACTACTAATATTTATCGATGTGCGTGTGTAAACGCAATGCTAATATTTTTATTTATTTATTTTTGGTTTTTTTGCGTTTATTGTCCTCCAAACTTGATGCTTTAAATGATTTATATGACAGTTTATTTATCTGATATTTATTTCTTTCCAATTTATTCACTATGCTAACGTCAGATTAGTGTTCAATTTCACGTCATCACTTTTATGCGGCCGTATTCCGGGCTTGACGCCCCAACAGAGACAATTGTGCACTGAATCACCGGATGCTTTCATAGCTTTAGGCGAGGGTCATCAATTGGGCGCCCAGGAATGTCAATATCAATTTCGTGGCCATCGGTGGAATTGTTCGCAAGTATGGAAAAGCGATGTCTTCGGTCATGTTATGTTTGTCGGTAAGTTATCCGAATTCATTAGAAATTGTTAAAATTCATATGAAAGTCATTAAAGGATCTCGCGAGGCAGCTTTCACTTATGGTATAGCAAGCGCTGGAGCAACTCATGCGATAACGGCGGCGTGTGCCAGAGGTAACATTTCACTTTGCGGTTGTGATGTACGCCACAAACCCACCACACGTCGTAGCTCTTATGAGGACTTTGAAGAGGGTGTTTCAGGGGGAGAAGAACAACAGCCTTGGAAGTGGGGCGGCTGCTCTGCTGATATTGAGTTTGGTATGAAATTCGCACGAAAGTTTCTTGACGCTCGAGAAATTGAAGGGGACGCTCGCAGTCTTATGAACTTGCATAACAATCGTGTAGGTCGTAGGGTAAGTAAGGCATAATATATATACGGTGGAAATATGATTTCCTCTAGATAAGTAACCGAATAAGTAAGTAAGCGTCAGGGCTACCAAGTCAGTGTTCGCTCAATGCGGTAGAATTTGCTTTGGTCGTAGCTTAGTGCTCGTTACCCTATTACCCGAATAGAGAATATCCTCTGAGTGGTCGGTCATATTTTAGAGAAAAACAAGAAGAGTCCCCCACGCTCTATTCGCACTATATTTGCTCTTGATTGGCATAAGTTTTTGCATCGATTCTTTTTTGCTTGATCTTTTGCCTGACTGTGCGCGCCACTTTTTTTCTTGTTGTCGTGTAAATAGTGATAAAAGATAAAATTCAATGCCGTTCGTGAAGTTTAAAGTTGAATTATTCGTTCGAAACTATGTTAAACGTAAACCCAAAATCAAATCTCGCAAAGTCCAACGTGCTTCCGAGTGGAAATAACGCGTAGTAGCATATCCACAATAAACGAAAAGTTATATGAAACGATAATCATTGAAGATTCGTTCCAAAGTTTCTAAGTCAGCTATTTCTTCCGTATACGTCTATGATTGTATGCAATTATGCAAACGTTTTCGTTCAAAAAAAATCCAATGCTATGGGAAGCTTCCAACTAACGTAAGCTGGATCGGAATGTAACCAATCGAAGCGTTCCCCTAATTCATTCATGGCCCAATAAAATTCACCTAGGAAATGATATTTCAGTAGATCATCATCCGTTAAGTTCCGTTGACGTCTAGCATAATGATACGACTCATTATTACCCAGTCGAGGAAAATCTAAACATTCTGGATGACCGAATTGATTGCCCATAAACTTCAAGTAAACTTCACCGCCCAAGCTATAATTAAACGGATCATTTTATGCAAAGCTAATCCTCTATCAATAATTATAATCGATTCGGATAAAACAGAAATGTTGGCTATATCCATTAAACAAAACGCTAGGATTTTATCACCTACCAAGGCTTGATCGTGAGATGCAGCATAAGCTATCGTATTTTCGCGATATCGCCGATTGGTTAGGCTATGAACTAAATTACCGATATTTCTTTGACCGTCACTATATTCCTGGGAGCAGTTGGATCCATTTCTCCAGTATACCAAGTTGATACTCGAAACCTATAGCGACTTCGGAGATGGAACGACACAGTGTAGGCATACCTGAAACGTCCTAAATCCGAATTTTAGAATAAACCATTTTTCAATAAATGTTTATTTATTTTTAATTTTCACTTCTTGCTTCTGCTACGGTCACGAATTGGGGATTTTAAAGATGCAACATACAATTGGCGAAAGCCAAATAATTTAAAGCATTGGTATCGACATTCGTACCAAAATATTCGTTGTAATCACCACTGAAGCTCTAATCGATACCTCGAAAATGATATATCATTGAAGTAACTCCGTCAAATCTAAGAAGATACTTAAAATATGGAATTAAATAGATCTTCAGGTGTTTTAAATTTCCCACCTGTAACTGTCGAAGTTATAGTTTTCATACCACCGTAGTAAATTGGATAGTAAAAATTCCAAAACTTCGTATTCAACATATTTGAATAATCAACGGTTCCACAAGGCGTGCCTTTTAACTGCTCAGGCGTACCATATTGGTTGGATGCGGCGAAAAAAGTGGTCACCTGGTATCCAAAACTGGCATTGTTAAGCATGTTCTATAACGGCCATTACTTGTGTAGCCCTATATCCTTGCCTTTTAATACGGGGTATTACTTCAGTCGTAAAACGATCGTAGCTTGCACTGAAGGGTTCTTGCGACGCTATAACCACCTGGCATTCGTAAATGCGTAAGGATTTATATCGTTTAGCGCCTGGATACTTAAATGTATATTTTTCCTTTTCAAACGGATGCCAGACAAGCTGTTTGAAGTTGTGCGTCTAAATTGGCTTCTTTAGGCGATTGCTTTACATATACAGCACACGGCGATAAGCGATTCAGTTGTTGCCATTTTTCATTGCGGACAATAATTTTAATGTCACTTAGATGTTTTACCGCAGGAGTGACATCAGCGTTTGGTGGTAACTGTAATTCCCATTTATCAAATTCTAATTTTTGAAAAAGTTCCGCTTTCCATTGCCAATGATGAACAAGGGCAAATTACGCATTTTTGATATATTCATTTTTTTATTGGCTTTACACTCAACGATCTTTAGGAGACCTAAGTGTGTTTAGACAAAAAATAAATCCGAGTTCATTCTGAAATTTTTAATAGGAAAAATTTGGCAAGAAATTTTCGAAGCCTGGGAGGTGTCCTTTTTGGAAATGTCTGTATGAATGTATTCAAATATATTTCTGAAGAATGTAAGATGGTCGCTGGACCTGGCCATGTTCTTCTTCTTTTGTTGGAATTTTATTATTCGAATTTGAATTGGAACATTAGGTCGAGTCATAAGTAACTTTCGATGCAGCCAGATAGAATCTGTTGTTCATATTTACCCAATATAAGTTACCGAAATAATCCTCATCTATATGAGGGTTCACTTAGTCTTCTATCAAGTGTTTTATGCGGTGCATGTTACATTTAACTGTTTTTCTTAACCTATGAAATGGAGAAAGTCAAAAAGTGGACATTTGATATAAAATGCTTTGGGAATTTAAACAAGGCAACAGCGCTAAGGCGATAGCTGAAGAAATATGCAGCATGTACCGTGAACGACTGATGACTGTTCGGGCAGCTAGAAATTGATTTGTAAGATTCCGTTCTGGAGATGCGATCCTAAAAGGTGGGACGTCCTTCTGACTTTGATGACAACCTATTAAAGGCTGAAGGTTGAATACCTCACAACCAACTGTTTAATTAATATAAATTTGCTATTTAATGAGAACAAAATAAATGTCTGATGAACAAGTTACTTAAGACTGACTCCATTTAATAATTGGCTTTACATAACCAAAAAGCTATAGCAAACAGCAGTAGCAGATGTTGAAATAACACTTTTTGTAAATATTGTTATTGAAATTAGCAGGTAATCGTTTCTACACAGTAGCTTCAAAAGATCAAATTATGTGTCGATAAAGTCTGGGCTCTATATGCTTCTAAGAAAAGAAACAATTTATGCAAACAAGATGACCACCCTCAGGTAAATGTCTTATGGGTTTTTCAGGTTATGTATAAAACGTTCCAATGTCATATAAAAGTTAATGTATATGAATGAAAAGGATAATTACGTAGCCTTACTAAAATCTCCAGTTATGTAAAGTCCTTTGGCACTGGGGGCCCTTTCGCGAGCCACCACTGTGAAATATATTGGCGCTTTGTAAATGCAAGAGTGCTAGTTAGCTGATAAAAGGCACTTTGGCTTAGAAATATAAATTTTGTAACCGACATTCATTCTGGATCGTAAATTACAACTCTTTTATCTATTGTTGATGCACTCCTTCCTTTTACGGGATTGTTTGAAATCATCAGGAGTATATTCTTATAGATTAACTTTGATGATGGGTACTAAAATTCGTTTCAAAGCGAATGCACTTCTCAGAAACCGCCGTAAATTTTATCGTCAGTGATCAAAGGCACTTTGTAGATACCCCGCCAATTAGCGTCTACGCAATAATTGGTAAACCTCTTGGTACGATGAAAATTGAAAACAAATACTAGACCATCCCTTTCATAAGCAATCACTTTATCACTCTCACTTTATCATTCTCATGAGCACTCGAGTAGTTAAGTATCAGCATTTGGGAATTCGAACCTGAAGTATCCGCTAGGCTGTGAGCACTACCTACTATTTCTTTCTCTTTCCTCATTTCTTTCTGACCGTCGCGATATTACGCGAATAAGGGGCATCCTCGGAATGATTGGTCATATTGAAAAAAAAGGGGCCAATTTTTACCGACATTGCCAACTTCATTACTTGTCAACTTGATGAACTAAGCCATTCAGTCATTCTGTTCAGAATGAGTTTCCGATGAAAACTGTTAACCCATTCTAGGATTAATCAATACGTTTTTGTCAGCTGCAAACCGAGCATAAACCACCTAACCTCAAAAAAGGAAAAAAGAAATGCTAATGTTTTCGTCTGTAACCTTTTAGCCATAAACGATGATAATCGAGATCTACTTTCATATCTTTTTAGTTAATCAAGAATTTATTAAAAACTGATTGTAAATGCCATGGTGTTAGCGGGTCTTGTGTGATGAAGACTTGTTGGAAAAGTTTACCTGCATTTCGAGTTGTGGGCGATGTGTTAATGAAGAAATACCTTAAAGCCAAAATTGTTCAAGCCGTGAAGGGCAAAAATGGACTGAAACTAATTGTAAGCAAGTGAGTTCATTTCATTCCTATTCATTATGATTTCTATTAAAACGAAAATTCACTCTTTATACTCGTATACTCACTTCCGTTTTCTTTGATTAGAAAAAATCGAGCCGTTAAAGCTAATAATTATCCCAAACGTATGGATTTAATATATTTACAAGCGTCACCGAACTATTGTGAACGTAATCTGCTGGTGGGTGTACAGGGTACGCAAGGTCGTATTTGTAATCGTACCTTGCGCGGATTGCAAAGCTGTGATTTACTTTGTTGTGGGCGTGGCTATAATACACATCAAATACGTCGTACCAATCAATGTCGATGTGAATTTAAATGGTGCTGCCAAGTACAATGTGATGTCTGTGAAGAGAATTATGAGGAATTTTCTTGTAAATAATATCGAAACCGAATTAGTTTAGCATTAATTCATTAATAGCGTTTAGTGGTAAGAGTTTTAACTTAAGCTTATATAGATTTGTATAAATGTATTTGATATGCGTATGTGTGTACTTATTGTGAAGTTTAAGGATAAGAGAACTTTCTATTTATATTTGAAATTTTATTTAACTTTATTCCAAATAAGATCGAAAATATTTAAAATGAAGAAAAAGACAAGGTTGAGGTTTTATTTCAAACGAACCGGCGGGAACGAATTGCGGGAAGTGCAAAGGAAATAGGTAAGAATTTGAAAGTTTCATAACAGAAGCTGATGGATAAAAAAAAAGACCAGAGCTTTCGCTCCAAACCATCAATTTTCTATTTTAAATTTTGTGACTTTGACATTGCCTTCATATATCGGCTTGGACAAATGGGGGACCAACGAACGTAATGACGGATGAATGTATGGGGAGACAGACGGAGGAAATGATGAGAAAAGGAACTCATTCATATTTTAAAACTAACAAAGACAGGGTGATGTAAGATTGCAAAGCCAAAGAAACTACATTGTCACTACACGTGCCAAATCTTGTCCGACGTACGAAGGTTAATCAACATATTATCAAAATTTTTACTTTTCGGCTGGTCGTCCATACGATTTCTGGAAAATTTTATTTTATAGTATGCCCTTCAGCATGATCTATATGCCCTACATAAGGGCTTATTAGGTTTGTTTAGGTGCCTACAACACTCAGAAGGACTTGGAGTAAATCCACCTTTTATTATGCCTTTGGGTTTAGAATAACTTTCTGAATTTATCTAAACTTCTCCGTCACTCTGTTCGTCTGTCTGTCTGTCCCCCGCGTTTTCTTTTATTCAACCCACAAGCCCCAAACTTTTGAAATATTTTGGTAAAATTTATTCCAGCAGCGTGCTATGACCCAAAGGCAAACGCTTTTCAAAATGATTTGGAATGGACAGTTTTTCCAAGCATTTCTCATATTACGGTTGATTTTGAGGGGTCGTCATAAGAATACCTGTAGCATTATGTATGGTATCAAGCGATGGGCCATGGCCCGTTCTTCATTTAAGGAAGAAGAGGGGACCGTATTCGCCGTAAGCACGTTTCTTCTTAGTTTCCCTATAAATTTCCAACACATTACTTGTTCAAAACGTTCTTCAGTGAATCGACCACCAGCCGCAACAGTTTTCTTTACTTTTCCTTGGTTCTTGCATTGCTAGGATGCTGAGGTTATTATTTCTAATGGCATTATTTGTTTTTTCGAATGGTTCACGGGGCTATGTAGGAACCTAATTTGCTGGAAAAAAAAGAAAATTAATTTCTGAACATGGAACTAGCCCCGTTACATTGCAAAAATTGGGAAACAAGTGAATTTCCGCTTCTTGTTAATAAGATTTTAGAAGTAGATAGAGATAAGGATCTTTGAGAAGCAGCCAATGTTTGCTTAGAAACATGTTTGCTTAGAAACACTTCTATGTGATTGATTTATTTAAGGAAAAGTCGGAAAAGAAAATTTAACATATCTCCAGTTTTCGTTGTCTATAGAGGCAGCAGAGGCTATCGGTGTCAACCTTGCTACCACTTCGATGTACGTTGTCACCTACTGCTTGTCACGATTTCACGCTTTCAACTATGACCATTCTCAACATTTTCAGAGGTGTCATCAAAAATTGTTTTTTTCGCCTGTAAAGGTTTAACTTATACACAAATTATTGTCAAAAGTTCGCTATCCGTCAAGAACGGGTGCACATGCTTGGCGCCGAATATATTTCAAACGTTGGTTCAATTCAACAAGAGATACGTAACAATTTCGGCAGGTCAGAATGCGACAGAAGTTAAATATAAACGAGGTTAATAAACACAAAAACGGCAGTTACTGTGCAAAGACAATACGGAAATGCAAAATTCCATGAACTCTTCTCAGACGCCACTATTTTTATTTTCTGGTCCGCGCGGTAAGGAAAAAGCAGGGAGCTATTGCTGAAGCATCGGGAACAATGGAAATGGACGACACGATATCGTAAGCGGAAAATCAAGATCGGAACATGGTTGCAATCAGCGAAAAGAGTTCTCAGTGAAATTTGCCTTCGCTTTGCCTTTGTATCCAAAACTTTAGCAGTAATGTGCTGCCAATTTTGAAAGGCCTTTCCTTGCACCAGACGTTCTACTTAAAATCTATTCCAATTCATAACAACTTACCTATCCGGGTAGCAATAGTCAAAAAATTAGTACTGCGGGGACTCAAAAACGGTCCTTATTTTGACCTCATATGTCCTCCGGTTCGAATACGGAGTGCCAGACTACATTAAATTAAAATGGAATAAATTTACTGCAATCAGATTAAATTAGCTGTAAGCAGACAAGAGTAATGACGCGTTTGAGGTGTCCCAACGAAAGTAACTATTTTTAGTTGAGAATTGGCAACTTTAGATATGCCAACTTTAATAAAAGGCAAAAGGATTACTTCCAGATTTTGGTGGCGTCCTGCTTGGTTTAATATAAACATCCGGTTTTGCCGCTCTTCTTGGCTAAGCAGCCGAGACAGCCGGACATGTCGCGGAAACTAAGCATACTGAGATCAAAGGTCCTACCGTGTTTTTGAATATATTCATTCAGCCTCACCGATTATACAGTTAAAAGTCGCAGACACATCAAAGTCAGCATCGAGTCTATGGTCCATTTTATACTGAAATTAAGTGCTTAAGTAAATTTATGAAGGGAGCACGAAGTGAAAATTCTAGGGACACTTTCCAAGTCCTAGATATATAAATTTACTTGCGGAAAGAATCATTGGCACTTCGGACGAAAGTCAGCACTCGCAGTACTTAAATGGCTAACGCGGAAACGTCATTTATCCTTTCCGCACACCGAATTCATAGTTTGTCGGGAAAAACAGGGAAAAAATGTGTGATTTGTAATGACGAGCAATGCTTTGGACTATATATTTAGTGAGAGTTTCGTTGATTTCGTAGATTCAGTTGTCTTTTTGAGAAGCCTAAATTAAGTTCCATTTCTCACTTTTTATTATTCTATTATCTCTAGTCTTTACTAATAACGACAAAAATAGATTCCGAGACTTCACAATATCGTTAAACCATAACCGGACCATAAACTAACAATAAAACCTTAAAATGCTTTTCCTAATATAACTCGCAGCATCAATGCCCTCTGGTGGTCGTAATGATAAACGATATGTATTGAATGCCTCTACATAAGTATCGCTTATTACTACTCCTACTATTTATTATTAATTTTCGTATATTTACACAGAATAGTATTGGAATCTACAAAGAAGAAGATTCCTTTACAGAATGATAAAGAGACAAGCACAGCTAGAGAATAATAAAAGAGAGTACGAGGATGATATAGACAGAGAAAGGGTGAGAGGGTAATATTGTGATGATGAAGTGCGCGGGCGCTTACAACGCAAGCACCACAATTTCATTGATTACAAAATCTATGACAAATGAATTTTCACCACTTACACGGAATTTCGATTTGCTCGCTTAATAAAACTTTCGGTATAACAACGGTAACATACTAGGATAACGAGCCAGTTCTTTAAGGGTAGTTAGTTGAAAACGCTGTTCACAAGTTGATTAAAAGTGCCGCACAATTGGGTTGAAAAATACTTTTGTTCACTTCTTTTTTTTTGTATTGTAATAAAATTAGATGAGTACAAGAAAGAAAAAAATCTCTGCATGTATACACAGCAAAAGGAGTTCACACTATCATCTAAATCGCCGATAAAAAAAATTAAAAAAATAAATAGAAAAAAAAGATAAAAAGTTATTTAGAGAAAAAAAAAACACAACATTTTTTTTTTTTTTTTTTTAATCATTAACAAAAAGCTGAAAGTGTATACGTCTAATAACAACAACAATAATAATAATAATAATAATAACAACAACAAAAATTGGTGCTAAATAATAAATTAATTAAAAATGCGAGTCAACTAAGCAACCGACAACCCACCTAAGTATAAATTCTTATACTTATATTAGAAGAAAAAAAAAAAAAAAAAAAAAATAAAAATTTCAAAAAAATATTTAAAATGAAAAAAAGGTATTGAAAACAAGAAAAATATAAGTACACATATATATATATATACATATATACACATATTAATCAAAAAATTGGTGTCAAGCATACGAATTTGAAGAAGAAATTATTCAAGTGAAGAAAAATTAAGAAAAGCAAAGATGATCTGAGTAATCTTAAGCTCATTGTTCGGCTTAGTGAGGAAGAAAAATGAATTTATTTATTTATTTAATTATTGTATTTTTTTTTTCTTTATTCGTTACGCTGATTAGGAAAAGAATGATTTCCCTCATTCTTTTTTCATTATTTTCTTATTAAAAAATGTCTTAAAAATTTTATTTTGATTTGATAAAATTCCTTATTTCGCCTTTTTCCAGTTTAACCGGGTTAGCTAGCGTTAACAGCTAGTGAGTATAGTGAGAAAAGAGACGAAGAAGGAGTACCGATATCGATTGAGAGAAAAGTAGACGAAATTTTTGTTATAATATTTCTTTATTTTTTATTTTATTTTTTTTTTATTTTTTTTTTCTTCTTCTACAAACCTACATACAAGTTAATGGGTGATGATATCTATTTGTGTGTATGTGTATGCAACTATACCATACACATCTGTAATGGGAATTGAAAACGTAGGACTTGCGTGTGTGTACATAAGTTTTAATAATTGTGTTATATAGTTGTTGTTGATGGTATGTGTGGCTCTTACATGCAATTTATTGCTCCTCTCACTGCGCCATTCAGTAAGTGCGTAAGAGTATGCCAGAGCTTATACTCATTTATTCATTTAACAATACTTTGGCATTCAGTCGTCGGAATATCGTCATACACTTTCACAAACATTTGGGGAAAAGTTTATGGGCCGTTGGAGAATGTGAGGAGTTTTTTGTTTTTGTTTTTTTTTTTACTTTATTGTCTCATTGTTGAGAATCTATAACGAATATAATGACTAGAAAACCGTGACACTAACAATAACAACGACAACAGCAGTAGCAGCAGCAGCAGCGGCGGCAGCAACAACAACAACAATCCAAAATATATGTCAGTGACTTTAGTCGATTGTGGAGATAAATAATGGCGAGAACGTTACCGTACATCAAATAACAATTAGCGCTACAACACTTGTCTAAAAAATATTAAGCTGCCGTTTATATAAATGATTTCACTTTTTCAAAGAAAATGCAAAAAATTATATGTGACACATGAAATGAACCGTCCGCCGGTCGAGTATCTTGTCTTAAATCAAAGTTGCTTTTATTTCATCTACTTTTGAAAAATATTGTCAGCAAGTGTGTTCCAAGCGGGGTATTACTGAAAGGAAGAAAATTATAAATTTTTCATAAGTTATTTCAAACTTATTTCGAATAGTTGTCCTGAGAGACTCGGAGTTGACCATAGATGGTTGGCTTGCACTTTCAAATAAAAACTGAGAAAGCTAGACAATGATTTCCTGAAGGCCAATCCACTTAAACGCATTCGTTCAAGGAATGTATTCTGCAACAAGTTCATGTTCTGCCACATTATTTGATTCGTCGCCCTTTTTCATTGTATGGGAACAGGTATGAGGTGCTTTCGGGGGTAATGTATTTTGAATTGAGTGGAACTTCTTTCCAAAAATTTTATTTACTTTGGCACAAATTATTGCTGAGAAACTGTTTGGTTCCTGGACAGAATGACGCTCTTGCGAAACTGCTCACACTTTAGCGCGATTGTTCGAAAAAAAGGAGCCCAATGGTAGCATTTGCAGCCACTGTGGTCTCTTCCTAAGGAATATACCCCATAGGAGTGGTCACGTCGATGCTTAGGACGATGCTATAGGTGTGAGAAGTTGGAGGAAAGGCAGAGTGTGGTGGAAGAAACGTCAGACCTTTGCTTTCCGAGGATGGAGATAATGTCAACTTAGTCACACGCCCATCTCATCATCCCTCTCTGCCCCTTATCCATTGGTGCAATTCACTTTTCAGCGTATATTGTTATTAAAGCTTAAGAAACTTAACTTACATAGTATTGTTCTAAACTTTCGAAAAAGACTTCTACACCCTCGTACACATATACGTACGTCTTAAAATTAAGATATGTATATATATTATAACATTAAGATATATATATATATAACATCCATTCATTCGTTTGTTCATGCATTGAATTGTTCTTATAAGCTTCCACATCCGACATAAGAAGATTCAAGTTTTCTTTAGTAGGCTCAATACTTTTTAATTTAAACCTGATGTATATGTTTCATATATTATATTTATTTATATGTTTCTTATGGGTCTTATTTAGTGCATAAATTAAAACTTATTACGAAAAAAATAAAAATTCAATCAAACAAGTGTGTATCTATCTAGTGCTTCGATGTTGAATTAAAAGTAGTTGAATAAACGCCAAAAAATAAATCAACGGAAACGGAAAATGTTGTTGTAGAATGAGCAATAAAACCAATACCAACAACACCAGCAACGACAACAACAGTAACAACATCAACTATAGACAATAACTAAGCCTAAAAGCAATACTTACTTGCACGAAGAGAATCAACAAATTTTTCGGATTAAAACTAGAATAAGTTCATATGCATCTGTATGCCAACAAAAAGTCAAGCATGTAAGTGTAAAAAGTAAAGTAAAGAAAACTCCCTAAGTGCTATGTTTTTTTTTTATCGTGTTTTATGTTATTTTTGTTCTTTCAAGTTTTTTCATTACGTGTATATACGTGGGTGGGTTGTTGCGCGTTTCTAGACATGGCTTACACTTTTGCATGAACGTATGTCTCCTTTTAGATTAGACCAATAATTTTTATTGATTTCTGTGGGGCAACCTTATTATTACGTTACGTTATGTTGTAATATGTTGCCCTCAAGTAAGGCATGAATATGCACACACTCGCAGACACATACGCACGTACACACATATATGCGTACACACTATACACGCGCGCTCCATACGCACACACATATACCCACGTATATGCACGCGCACGTACACACGCAATTAACTCTCATAACCGTTGAAATACTATATATGCTTACATGTGACATTATCGCTTAACTGTCACGCCAGCCATTCACGCCAGCTAAAGTGTAAGAGAAAATGAGCTTAAGCTGAGAAGAGACCAAAAGAGCAAACGATAAGAGAGATAAGAGATTTATTACGAAGAAAGAGTAGAAAGCCATATACTCGCAGTGTCTCAGTGATGGAAATCATTCTCAATTTGAAAAAGTGGTGAAATTTGTTTTTCTATAACATTCCCATGTGTTAAATGTGCTGTATTTTCTTGTTAATAATATTATTGTTGTTGTTGTTGCTATTTTCAATTTTTTTTTTTTTTTTTTTTTTTTTGGTTTATTATTGTGAGAGTGAATGTAGTCAGTTGGTTACGATGCACGTATGAGAACGCTTGAGGACACACATTTTCAAGGGAGCTTTTCTTCTTTGGTCAAAATCCAGTTGAGTGTGTGTTCATTGCTTATTAAAACAACAACAATAGCAACAACGATGTCAAGAGGCTATGTCAATAGGAAAACAGATAAGATTGTCTGGTTTGCGTTTCTAATAAAACCGTTATTCCATGTATGGCAAAAAATCTATGATTTCGAAAATGACTGAATAGCTATAAAAATCAATCAAAGTCGTAAAAGAAAAGCAACACACAAGCAAAATGAACAACCGACTGACTGCATATAAACATAAAATGTATTTCAATATTTACGAAAGGCTATATAAATAGATTTGTTTACCACATTGCATATATAGACATGTGCACATTACTTATAAATTATTTGGCGGGAAACATATCAACGTGAAAACATTTATATAAAACTTGATGGAGCCAGTATTTACGTTTTTATATCTGTTAATGTAACAGTGACGATGTACTGTCCAGTATTCACTATTGTCGTTGTGAGTCGGTTAGTTAGTGTCGGAACTGACTTTAAATGGCTATGTACATTTTAAGTAGAAGTAACTTCTGAATTCATTCGGGCAGATTTCATCTCCTCGCCCGTCCATCCATACGACTCGAAAGCGAAGTCACTACAATGTACGTAAGTTGTGCACTTTCTGATAAGCGTCAGGTTCTAAATTGTCTCTTGTCAGCACTTGCCTGTTGGTTCTTAACTTTGCGAATTTTTTCATTTTCGTTTGTTCGTTTCTTAACCCTCATAAGATAATTTGTTCCCTCGTTAATTGATTCTCTCACATATCTTGCGTCTTTCTCTTCGTCAGTTTTTTTCCGCATTCATCAACTTCTGGGCCTTATTAGCTTCTACAAACCTATCCATCCGCTATAGAGCTATGCTCTCGTTCCGTCTTTCCAAATGTTTCTTAATGTGCTTGTCCTTGCTTTCCATCCATCCTTACGTCTTTCTTGTTCTCTCTACTCTACTGCATCTTCGATACAAGTGACTCTTGATCGATTCGTTTTCTCCTGCATCCTTCACTCTATTCGCTTTTCCGCAGGCATATCTTTCCACTCTCCGACGATAACCATTTGAAGAGTACAAAAGCTGTATGCCCGCTGAAGCTTTTCTTATTAGTACTAAAGATGGGCGTAATGCGTCTCTAAGCAAGCATACGAACAAAAGCTAGAATATTAAAAATTTTAGAATATATTCTGATTTATAAATAATCTACGTTGTGGAGGCAACTCGACAAAAATCCAAATCACGATAATTGGTAAACGGAAGGAAAATGGCATTCCTGTTGAGATTCCATGATGAATTTATGGATTTATTATCATTTTTTTATACCTTACGCCACTTGTGACACAGGGCACATTAAGTTAGTGCGGACGTATATAGCACGCAATAGGGCTTCAGATAGACCCACCGTTTATCATATCGATTGATTCAGAATCATAATCTGAATTGATGTAAAATTGGGTTCGAGATACTTTGATGAAATTTGGTACAGCGACATGTTTTGACCCAATCGCCATAAATGCTCTTGAAAATGGTTCGGATCGGTTCACTTTTTCGAAGACTCCCCATTTAACGCCCTATTCTGAAAAGTTGCAATTTTCGGAAGTTCTTAGCAAAAGTGACTAAGTAGCAGCATTTCGGCTTTCTAAATTGTAATCTGTAAGCTTTAGACCGGTAGGTATAATATATAATAATAAGGTATAATTTTCGATGCTTCATAATGAAAATGATATCATAATCGTAATTTAACATAAACAAACAAACTGTACCAAATTTGGGCAATCTCTCCCTATTTTTTGGATCCTACGCTAGCAAGAATACTCGTGAAGGTTGATTCTTTATGGAGTAGAAAAGTCAAAGTTTTAATATGTGGTGATGAAAATTGACCAATAATAGTAATTTCATGCAAAAATGAACTCTACAAAATTTAGATGTAACTATTAAACTTGTTCTATATTAGGTTGCGTTTTGGGACCGCTGTGTCACAAATACGCAGAAATTGATATAGAAACACGATATAATTTTTATATTAATTCTTACTTTAATTTGTACATAACGATCGACCTAGGCCGACTATATTGTTCTTACTTGTTTCTATTAGTAAATCATTTTGAAATTTTTACCCACAACAAAGGAATCATTACTAAAAAACACATATACAAATGAAAAACTTTCCTAATAGGGATAACATACATCATCAGCGGGGAATTCGAACTGGAAGGCTGAGCAACACATTGATACAGTTTCAAGTCGCCGGACATGTAGATCTCTGCTTATGTATGCATCCTCCATAGATAAAAATATCTATTTGAAATTTATGCACGGAATGTGCAGAAAAAGCGCCCGAGGATATCCCACATAGTCTTGTTACTTATCATCCATCGAAGAGAACGAAACCAATATTTTAAGTATTACTTATGAGTGACAACAGTTAGTCACCTTAACTGTAGTTTTCTTGTATCACAAGAAATTGAAGATGAAATGTTTGAACAAGGTATGAAATTACATTCGGCTGCAGTCGAATCTTTTCTACTCTATACTTCGACGCGCATCTTAAAAGAGATCGAAAAAAAAGAAATTATCATACTATGCTGCACCATTAGGTGGACGTAATTGATTTTGGCCATTTTCGTAGAAAGCAAGAAGTTTTTGTTGTGTGCCTCTTGTAGTTTTTGCATAGTCGGCAAAAAACCCAAGAATCAAGAAAATGTTTTCAATCAATATTGTACTGTGGCCCATTTTCAACATCAACCTGCATGTAGCGATTTCCATTGTTTTTTCGAAATCTGAAGCAGACATCTTCATATTAGCGACCACGAGAATGTTTACTGCGCGCATAATACACAACCAAATATATCTCCTTTTGGATGTTGCAAACGTTTTGTCAAACTAAATGCACCGTTCATGCGTTAGTGCTAGGTACGAAAAGACAAATAGACCCCTTCTACTTGCATTGTAGCAGTGCAGTAAATTGGATTTTTTTCGTTCGTAAATATTTACCTTCGAAGAACTGTCTTTGCAAATATACCAGACGTGCTTTCTAGTTATTATAAGAACACAAAGTCAACGAATGATGTTTGTATTAAACTAGCAGCCAAATCTTGAGCTTCCGCACCGCATCAGTTACGAACGACATAATGAAAGAGATTACCCTTAAAAGGTATAGAAGGTTTTGAGAGAATTATACATTTATATATCGTATATGTATGCATGTATATAGCAAAAAAAAAAAATAATAATATGAAAGAAAAAATTGAGAAAAAGTCGAAAGTACTACCCTTCACACTGCTTTCGTATTAAGCCGCTGCATCGAGGCGACGAAGTGAGAAAATGAAAATTCCATTATTCGCTAGAATTAGTCTTGATCGCCCCATCAAGTTATCTACACTCTCCAGTCTTTAATTGCGGGGAATACCTTACAATTAAACATGTATCCTGCCAATGCCTAAGCCATTTCACAGTTGGACGATTGACATTTGTTACCACGAATCCTATGGAATAAGAATGAAAATACGTACGCAAGACCACATCATAATATCAGTGAAATATTCAAATTTGTTAGAACGAGTAAATTGGGAAATGAAGAGTATAGTCTCAGCCACTCGTGCTCATCTCACTTCAATTGAAGAATTTATTTCCATGGGATGAGCAAATTATCATAGTAAAATTAGAGTTAAATAATAACGTTTTCTTAGGCAAGATATTGAAAACAAAACTCGGTTCGATTTGGGACGAAAATGGATAATATATTGTAACACAAACACGTCTTTCGCGGTTTTATGCTATTTATTGGGATCTTTAGGATAGAGTAGGTTTCATTTGCAAAGTTAGGATGTCTGTTTGCAGTTTATTTACAGGAACCTATATCTACTACACGTTAGTTCTCGTACTCGTCTCGGCCGTTCGAATATTGCAACTCGACTCTCACCAGTCATTCGCCACTAAAGCAACTAACTCGGCTCACTTTTGGACTTTTCTTGCGGCTGGCTCTGCCTCTATTGCTACTTAACTTCACCCCGAAATTTTTAATCCGTCTATCGGTTTTTCCGCCAAATTTCTACAATTGTTGTTAATCCTTTCGCCAGTTGCCGGGTGCATGACGCTGATAAGGCGTCTTCAATGTGTGTTTGGGTTTCTTCTTCTTTAGAATTTAGTTTCGTAGAAAATCGAGTAATTTTCATGAAAA